TTTTTTTTTTTAAATACAAGAATCCAAGTTATTGAAAGTTAGAAGTTCAGGTCCTGTTAAAATCACACTTTTTATTGGACATTTAATTCTGATTCCAGGTGACTAATTTTGTCAATTCTTTTTCCACAGGAAGCATCAAATTCCTAATGTATTTGCTGAAAATGTCCCTTAATATTGTTCACTTTATTGTCTTAAAAAATGTTTTGTGGCCAGGTGCGATGGCTCACGCCTGTAATCCCAGCACTTTGGGAGGCCAAGGCAGGTGGATCACCTGAGGTCAGAAGTTCAGGAGCAGGCTGGTCAACATGGTGAAACCCTGTCTCTACTAAATATACAAAAATGAGCTGGGCGTGGTGGTGGGTGCCTGTAATCCTAGCTACTTGGGAGGCTGAGGAAGGAGAATCGCTTGAACCCGGGAGGTGGAGGTTGCAGTGAGCCGAGATCGCGCCATTGCTCTCCAGCCTGGGCAACAAGAGCGAAACTTCATCTCAAAAAAAAAAAGTTTTGTATACAACAAGCAAGCAGCTTTTTTTGTTTTACCCTGTTGTAGCAAATTGCAGCTGCCATTGATTGTGAAATTTGTGACATGCTTTCTTCTAGTCTTTTTTACCTTTCCTCTTTCAGTGGTACTACCAGCTTCTCCATCTTTACTTGACTGTATCAATAGTATGCTTTGTTTTAAATTTTAAAATTTGTACATATTTTCTTAATCTAGAAAAAGAGTAATATCATAACTAAAATAAGTATTTCAATTTAACTACCTATTACCATTTATGTAGGTATCACCATAACTTGTGCTCTATGCATAAAATATTCAAATAAACACATTACAGTGTTATACTAGGGCATAGAGGAAAGAAAACTGTGATAGGATCAGTCTGGAGAAAAAATGATGATGGAATCAGTCTGTTGACACTGACTGGTTTGGCAATGTATTATATGAAATACTAGAAATGACATTTGTGCCTGTTGAGTGCTTGACAATACAACAGTAATATTTTATGTGATGCAGTGGTTGCAGTGAAATGTAGTTCTATCAAAACAGTGAAATTGTGTTTAATGGAAAGGTATTTTACCCTGCTGCTTTAAAATTTTTTTTCCATTCAAAAATTACAGGGAGGTCTTGTGCCTCCTTCACACAATTTTCTACAGTGTTAACATCTTAAATATTATATAGTAATATATAGTGCAGTATAGTGCAATATCAAAACCAGGAAATTAACATTGGTACAATTCATTGAGTTTATTTAGATTTCACCAGTTTTACATGTTCGTGTGTGTGTTTGTGTAGTTCTGTGCAATTTTTTCATATGTGTAAATTCATGTAACCACCACTACAGTCAAGATACAGAACTGTTCCAAAACCACAAGGCTCCTTTGTGCTGCCCCTTTATAAGGACACACCCCTGCTTCTGTTTTCAAACTTAAATTTCAATTAATCAAAACTTTAAAAAGTTGAATTTCTCAGTCACACTAGCCACATTTTAAGTGTTTAGTAGCAAAATGTGGTTGGTGGCTATCATATTGGACAATGCAGACTAGACTTTAGACGTTGTGAAGTATCTTAAAGGCTTTGAGATAATATGTTCACTTTCTTCTCAGGTGTGTGTGTGTGTGTTTGTGTTTAAAGAGACTTGATCTTGCTATGTTGCCCAGGCTGGATTTGAACTCCTAGGCTCAAGTGGTCCTCCCAGCTCAGCCTCCGGAATGGCTTTGTCACTGTGCCCTGCTCTTCTAAGGCTCTTAATCCCCTAAGTCTTCTTTTGTGAATCAGAACTAGGTTCATAACAGCTAGTCTCTTTTATGAGTCCTCTTCCTTCTACATTGGCCACTGGTTCTTAACTATTATTCAATTGATTAATAGGATGTTCTAAACATCATCCTCAATATGTGTTGGAAAAAACCACCATAACATATACTGTAGAGGAGGTATTGAAATACTCTGTTTTATAGACTAGTTATGTTTTACTATAAAGTACAAACACTCAGATTCTATGCATAGATGAAAAAAGTATGTTTATTCATTATTAAATAAGTGAGATTTTATTCTAAACTAGTTTCAAGTTAGAATGCAGAACTTCTGCGTGCTTGTCAAATCAGATCAGCAGCTTAGCACTAGATGATTATAATGTAGATGGCTTAATACCTCATTGTTACAGAGTACAGGCAGTAATATAGTACAGACAATTCATTTGAGCAGTGAAAATAAAATAATAATAATTGTGTGTCATGATTTGTCCCACGCAGTCAGTTGAGAAGGCTGTAGAATTATCTGTGCTGTTTTCTTCCCCATCATCTTAAAATTAAAGAATTCTAGAAAACCTAAGAATATTCCAGGACTGCGAATGGTTTCTTGTTTAAAACTTCTTTTTTTTAAAAAAATTCAGATCTGTCACTTGACTCTGACCTGGAAAATGAAAAAACGTCTACTGTCCCGTTGGCTGAGATGCTTGGAGACATGATCTGGGAGGACTTGTCTGAGTGCCTCATCAAAAACTGTTTGGTTTATTCTATTCCAACAAATAGCAGCAAATTACAGCAATATGAAGAGGTAAAGAGTCGCGATAGCATAGAAGGTTTTACGACACTGTTGATTATTATTGCTGTCTTTTGTTTTTCCTTGGAGATAGTTTGTTCTTTAGTTATACCTTTAAGCAAATTGTTAATAAGGAATAGAGACAAATTCCATATAACTTCGTTTTTCTCCTGGCTTCCTACCTCTTTAACTGCAGAAGCTTGTTTTCTTATTAAATATATTTTCTTTATATTCATTTATACTTACATTAGCTATAATAGCTATTGTGTGACATTTTACTTTTTTGCTTCTTTTTAGTGTTTCCTTGAGTACTAAAATAAGTATATTTATTTTAACTGTACTTTTACCAAGTAGAGTCAGACATTTCTATTGAAGATATTCTTTCTAATAAATTTAAGGCTGGAAATATGTATATTTTTATACCCAGTAATTGATGGTCCATTCTAAATCTTAAGTGAACAGCTTGGTTCTTATTTTTTATACATTGGATTTGAAATTCTAATATTGTAATGAAATATATGTATGTGATTCTTTTCTTTTTTTTGTGTGTATCTCAGATCATACAATCCACTGAAGAATTTGAAAATGCCCTAAAGGAAATGAGATTTTTAAAAGGAGATACTACAGATTTGCTGAAATATGCTCGTAACATCAATTCTCATTTTGCAAACAAGAAGTGCCAGGATGTGATTGTGGCAGCCAGAAATCTAATGACCTCTGAAATTCATAACACTGTGAAGGTATCAGGGTTATATTGCATTGTATATGAAGCTTTGTATATGAGAAAGCAACTCATTTTGAGATGCATATAGTAAAGTGGAAAAGAGGATGATGGTTGTTGAGCTGAGTCAAGTTATTAATCTTTTTTACATTGGTTTTGTCCCCGTTAAAGTGGTCCTAATCTCTACGTCTTCCATTGGGTATTGTGAAGTGCTGATAAGATAATGCACATGAAAGCCTTGTAAAAATGGAAAAAGTCTACATACATGTAATGGATTATTATTGTTGAAGTGAGATAGTAGATTATTCTCATCTTTATTTCTGAAGGTTTTAGGACACAACTTTGTGACAGGTACACTTGGGCTATATTATGTCCAGAAATTATATCCTGTTATACAAATGTTGACTTGAATAGAAGGACTAGTTTTAAAGGTAAAATAATAAAACAGGTAAATAAAAAGATAGGATATAAATAATTACCTGTAAAGGCAGTGGACTCTTAACCTTTTTTTTTCCTTCATTTCTTACATGTATGAAATAATGTATATACTTTGAATTGGGTATAAAGCAAAACATAGATTGAGGCAATCCCTTAACAGCAGACTTCAGCCATTTTCTGCTATCACTGAGGGAACTAGGCTTTTCTTCTTCATCCCTTCTTTTGCTGTGTCCCATTTTCCTTGGGGTACCCTATTATTGTGTCCACTTCAACAAAATATTTAATTAGCCATTTGAAATGCACAGATATTAACACTTTTTGAAGTAATTGTGGATTGTTAAGGGAGCAGAAATCTACTCAATACCAAGAACTGGGCTGTGGTTTCTTTTAACATAAATATCAATTGATTATGTCACTCTTCTGCAGAAAGTCCAGTAGCTTCCCATCTTATTTAGAGAAGACCCAGTAGCCTTACAGTGGACTACAAGGCCTTATCTGATCTGCCTCCTATTGCCTCTCTGACTCTATTTTCTATTGCATTCATCCTTCACTGTGCTGCAGGCACCCTGGACTTACTTCTGTTCCTTGAATGTGCTAGGCCTACTTGGTTTCTGAATCTCTGAACCACCTGTTACCTCTGCATGGAATATTCTTACTGCATATCATATGATTTGCTTTTTAAAAAGTACTTTCTGATCACTTAAAAAAATTTATAACCTCCCCTATTTCCTTCCTGTACCCCTTCCTTGCTGTATTTTTCTTTTTTTTATTTTTCATCAACCAACATTTTATAAGAATTGTTTATTGTTTCTCCCTCTAGAAAGTAAGCTCCATGAGGATAGAGTTTTGTGGGTTTTTTTTTTTTTTTGACTGTTTTGTTTATTGTTTTATCTCCAGCACTTAGAAAATACCTGGTACGTACATACTACTAGTATGTACTCAGTGCTTATGTGCTTACTAAGTACCTTTGGTAATGAATTCATATGTATCTCACAACTCCTTGATGTAAACAGCATTACTACTGAATTGCTCTGTGACTCTGGGCTTAATCTTTTCACCTCGTTGAACCTCATTTTCCTCTTCTGTACTGTGAGAGAACTAGATAATCTGAGTTTCCTACTCAAGTAATTTTGAGAGTTTGTAAAACTGCATTTTTCCTGAGTACTCAAGTCCTAATGTAGCTTCTTCTAGGTCAGGATATCTCAGCAGTGGCAGTGTTAACATTTGGGACCAGATAATTCTTTGCTGAGGGGGACTGTCCTATGGGTTATTTAGCAGCATCCTGACCTCTATTCCCTAGTTTCCAGTAGCACCTCTTCCAGTTGTGACAAGCTAAAATATTCCCCATACATTGCCAAATGCCCCCTGGAAGACAGAACTGTCCCTGATTGAGAACCACTGCTTTAGATTCCAGCCTGGTTCTTTCTCTTGACATTTAGGCCCTGGAATTAGATTTTCTAAACTTCACAACTTTGAAAAAGCTCCTCTTCCCTTTTCTAAAACACATTTCCAACTTAATTGCTTTTCATGGTCTTTTTCTCAATTCTCTTTATTCCCCTATGTGTACTAACTGTTTTCCCAAAAGATCTATAGTTATGTTTTTTGTTGTTGTGTGGTTTTTACATTTTGTCTTAAGAGACGTCTTATTAGGTCTAACATTCTTCCATCTTAGTTTCCTTTGTCCCTCCTCATGAAGTCACTTTTTCGAGTCTTATGTATCCAGGCCCACTATTTTTCAGACAAAGATTAGCATTTTTAATCATCTCTGTAAGTAAATTTTTTCATCATCATTCTGATCTTAGCCATAGTTTTTGACCACCCAGCCCCTGATATTTGTATTCTCATTTAAACTTCATAACAGCTCTCTGAAGTAGATATTATTAGACCATTTTACAGATTAGAAAGCCAAGTCCACTGACTTAAATGGTTTTATTAGACTTTGAACCTTTTCTGCCAGAAAATCTCTGTCAAAGTCCAGTGTGTGCAAAGCTGTTACTCTTGCAGTGGGAGTAGGGAGCCTGCTGCCTCTACATGCTTAATCTTTTTTTTTTTTTAACCCCTGAAACATCTTTGAGAAACAAGTTTCGAAAGCCATTATTAGTATATTATTTATTTTACAATGAGAAAATTGAGATCCAGAGAGGTTAAATGACTTTGTTAAAAGTTAGGGTAAAAAATATTACTGTTTTCACATTCACAGCCTACTGTTCTTTCATTTAGTCCCAACAAAGGAAATTTTTGATTGAAGCTGAAGCTTTTTTTTTTTTTTTTTTTTTATAATGGGAGGATATGCTAGTTTGAATGAGTTATTTCTTAGACTAAACCAACACATGTGCCTGGTACAAAATAATTTGTTCAAGAATCTAGACAATGGAACTCCAAATTATGCTGCTCTGTAATACTAATAGTCTAGTATGAGACAAATTATTTTTGAAGGTCTTTTTATTTAGCTGAAATCTTAGGCTAGTTGCACAGCTTTGCTATTTCAGGCAAGATTAAGAATGCTTGGGGCCGGGTGCGTTTGCTCATGCCTGTAATCCCAGCACTTTGGGAAGCCGAGGAGGGAGAATGAATTGAGCCCAGGAGTTCGAGACCAGCCTGGGCCATATAGCAAGACCTTTTCTCTACTAAAAATAAAAGTAAATTAGCTGGGTGTGGTGGTGCCTGTAGTCCCAGCTACGGGGGAGGTTGAGGCTACAGTGAGCTATGATTGTGCCACTGCACTCCAGCCTGGGTGACAGAGCAAGACCCTATCTCAAAAAGAACACTTAGAAGAATGTCACAGTAAAGGGGATTAAGGGGATTGTTTATCACTTATGACATGCTTTCATTTAGGATTCAGCAGTCATTAAAATATTGTCATAATTATTGAAATCTTCTAATTACTCTGTAGAGCCGTAGCTGTACCATGAAAGCAAGCAGTATCTTATTCTTCACCATGTGCTTATATTTGAATTATTCTGAAAACAATATATTTTCTATATTTCTGTGTTTGAATCTTAGATTATTCCTGATTCTAAGATAAATGTGCCGGAGTTACCCACTCCTGATGAGGATAACAAACTGGAAGTACAGAAAGTGTCCAATACTCAGTACAATGAAGTGGTGAATTTAGAGCCTGAAAATACATTGGACCAACATTCCTTTTCCTTGCCCACATGCCGGATCAGTGAATCAGTGAAGAAATTAATGGAACTTGCCTATCAGACTTTACTAGAGGCAACAACCAGTAGTGATCAATGGTACAAATTCTGGGTTGTGTGAAAATGGCAATGACTTGGTTAAATGCATACCCAACTAGATGTTTATCAGGAAAATTAGCTGGAATTCTTTGGGTTTTCTTATCCTAGAAGTTAATGCTTTTTCTGGAAAAAATCAAAACAAAACAAAACCCAGTGCATCACACAGATTTGTGTCTATCTCTAACTTTTATTTGCAATAGTGTAGATGTATGAGCAAGGTATAAGAAGTAGGTGCACTTGTATGGATGCACAAATGGATTTTTTGACATTAAAAATTGTTAATCACTTTTTAACAAAAGCTCTTCAATTGTTGTTGAATTTTTACTTTACTTTTTATTTGAATTGAATGATATTATACGAGAAAGCACATGCAAAGAACTTAGACTCTTACCTGGAAAATGATTAATACTTAAATGTTTATTATTGTGGTGGCAGTGGGTAATAGTCATATCTTCTATTCCAGCTTCCTTGGGCTCTTTAGCCTAACATTCTTTTTACCTTTTGAAACCCAGTCCCTAATTAATTTACGTTTTAAATGTTTATATTTAAAGCAATAACAATTTGTTAGGCAGCCGAAGGTAGAAGGGAAAGAATGGAACATGCCAAGGATCTGGCTTCACTCTTTCAAGATGACTTCTAATCTATATTGCATTCACGTTACCTTAAGTTCTATTCTATTATCTTATACAGAATCTGTTTTTGTCTAATAAGCTTCTTCCCTACTCCTAGACTAAATTGAGAAGAAAATGGCAGAGCGTGGACCAAGTTGATAGCAGCGCAGGTTTATAAAAGCTTCTTTAGTTTGAATCTGTGCTTAACAATTTCATTCTTCCTATCTTCATAAAGAAAACAGTTTCAGTTGGGGTTTGACCCAATCAAATTGCATCTTTAGATGGACTTCCAGAGTTCAGTTTTTATCTCACATACGAGCAAACCTCTTTATTTTATTCTGCTTTAGAAAGAACATGTCTCCCAAGATACTTCTCTGACTTTAATGAATCATTACATTCACATGTCCATTCAAAGTTAATTGTAAGAAGGAATAAAATGAACATAGGAGTGACCGTTGGCAAAATGAATATAGGACAGTTTCTTCACGTGGCACTCTTCTGAAATATATCAGACCAGAAGTTAGAGATGCAGGGCAATATTTCTTAAACTTTTTGAGAACACAAGACACCAAATAGTATTTGTATACTGACTATCTATGGACATTCTTTCCATTAAAAGTAATAGTTTTTAACAGGACAAACAAAACCACAGCTACAGTACAACAACCCCCTTTTTCATTATCAAACTCAAACAGCAGCTTCTGCACAAAAATGAAATAATTTAATCAGGTATTATAATAATCAAATAGTAACAGGGTTTTTGGGTGTGACTTATTTTCCTAAATATTTATAAAATCCCTGTAAGCTTTTAAGGTACATAGCTTAAGATATTCTTATGTAGAGGTAAGCTACACAAATCTTATGTTTGCCTTTTAAAAGTGCATTTTAATAATAATCTGTAGGTGTTTTAAGGCTAGATTTAAAGGGCAAAATATCTTGAGGGCTAGATTCTATCCTAGAAATGTTGATTCACCTCCTTGCATTGAGGAAAGAAGGAGAAAAGGTGAAAGCTGAAAGTCAGACTGATTCTAAAAGAACCAAGTGAGTGCTTTTATTGATACCTTGCCCTTTGCAGAGTGTATCAGTGAGTAGATGACATTTGCTTGAGGCTTAGCTCCATTTGTTACTGAAGGGATACTCTGGGTACTGGCAGAACAGAAATTGATAAATAGAAAAGAGGCTTTGGGTTGAATGCTGCTCTTCTTACAATTATTAGTGGATCCAGGTGTTTAGAATTGTAGTCTGGTTAGTAAATACTGGTTGAGACTATATTTCCATCTAGATTAATGGTGTTTTCCAGCAACCAAAGCAGGTGTTCTCTGCAACTGTAGTTTTAGCTTATGACTCTCACTGAAGATGCACTTAGTTTTATTTTTTTCTTATTTTTAGTGTATTCTTAGGCATTTCTGTTAAGTCTGTTTTCTTTTTAGTGCTGTTCAACTTTTCTACTCAGTGAGGAATATCTTCCATTTGTTCCATGATGTTGTACCAACATATCACAAGTAAGTACCACTGTATCTCATTTCTATATAATATTTGTATGTCTAAGATGTGTAAGTTAAGTTAAAACAAATAATTTTATATTCCCACTAAAGACATTTTGATTACTAACATTCATACTAAAATGCAGTAAATAATTTTAAGACGCATATTTAAAGGATTTGGTCATTTATTACTAAATTAATTAGGATTTTATAATCTTGCAGTGTAGTTAGTGATGCACATTTTAAAACTCAAAAGAACTACCTTGTTTTGATGCTAAGCATTTTCAGAACTGTTTTACTTAACACTAAGCCTCTAGTTCAGTTTTATTATTTGAATTAAAATGTTTAGATGTTTTTCATAAATATTTTTGATAACATGTCAACAAAGCTATTGCTTAGCCAAGAACTCTGAATTTCAAAGATGAGAATCAGCCAGGCACAGTGGCTCACACTTGTAATCCCAGCACTTTGGAAGGCAGAGGTGGGAGGATTGTTTGAGGCCAGAAGTTCGAGACTAGCCTGAGCAACATAGTGAGACACTCGTCTCTAATTAAAACAAAAACCAACCAAACAAAAAAAACCCCAAAAGCTGTTTACTATTTAAAGTATTTTTTAGTTCAGATTTTTGAATTATTGGGATGTTTTTAACTAGGCTCACCTGTTTTTATTATAAAAGCTTATTGTGAACCTTATTGGTTTTATTTGTATTCTCTTTACTGTGGTTTAACATTCTTGCTTCATTTTTTACTTAAGCAAAAGTAAAGAGAAAACATATTTGCATTAGCTGACAGCCTTGTCCTTGGGGATTCATAGACAGTTGGCTTAGACATTTCGTGACTCGGAAACATTTTTCACACTGTTGTGGAGTTAGATTTGCCTCTCTTCCTCCTTTGTGTAACATCAGAACTTTAGTGTGCGTCAGAATCACCTGGAAGTCTTGTTAAAACACAGAGTGCTCGATCCGTGCCCAAGGTTTCTGATTCAGTAGGTCTGGAGTGGGGCTTGGAATTTTAGCAGATTTCCAGGTGATACTGATGTTGCCTGTCAGGGGACCACATTTTGAGAACCACTGTCCTTAGATAATGGTTCTCAGCTTTGGCAGTATTTTATTTTATGTCATTTCATTTCAGTTCCATTCCGTTCATTTAATTTCATATTTTGAGACAGAGTCTAACTCTGTTGCCTAGGCTGGAGTGCACTGGTGCAATCATAGCTCACTGCAGCCTCAACCTACTGGGCTCAGGCGATCTTCCCATCTTAGCCTCCCAACTAGTTGGGACCGCAGGCACACACCACCACACTGTCTAATATTATTTATTATTTTTGTAAAGATGGGGTCTGTATATGTTGGGCAGGCTGGTCTTGAACTCCTTGGCTCAAGTGATCCTCCTGCCTTGGCCTCTCAGAATGCTGGTATTACAGTTGTGAGCCACTGTACCGGCCAAGCTTTGGCAGTATTTTAGAATAACTTATGGAGCTTTAAAAATATACATATTTACCCTCTTCCTAGAGCTTTTGATTTATGACTGATGTAAGACCCAGGCATTGTTGTTTTTGTTTTTAAGCCCCACAGGTGATTCTGATGTGTAGCCTGAAATAAGGACTATCTTGATTGTTGGCTTCTGAGTTGTATATCCTAGTTTTATATTGAGTTAGCAAACTAGAAACTGTTAATTGAATGACTGTTAGTGGGTAGATAGCAGAAATATAAGATAAGATTTCTTCCCAAGCTGGGTAGATAAGACTAATATGTGTAGAAGAATTAAGGCAGTGATTTTCAATCCTGGATGAAAATTAAAATCACCTGGGAAAATTTTAAAGCATAAATGCTGTGATTTCACTCTTAGAGCTTGTGATTTAATTTGGGGTAAAGTCTAAACATCTATATATTTTTAAAATTCCCAAATGACTCTTAATCTTTAGTTTTTGAAAACTAGTGAATTAGAAAATAATTGAACAGTTCATTATATAAATGAAGTAGGAATTCGGAGAAAGGTGAAGTAAACCTGTATTTCCATAGATGTATCCGTGTAAAACTTCAAGGATATTATTATACATAGCTCTGCTAGGTTTTCAGTGCAAAACATTGACTCAGGCAAACATCTTGACTCCCTTAATCTTTCTTTTTTGTTAATCACCAGGATAGTTTTATAGGATAAGATCCCATTCAGGCAGAACAGCCTCCCTCTAGGAGTGGGAGTGATGAGATTGTATCTTGTTATGTGTAGCATTTAGAAACTAGACAGTTATTAAAGCCTAGAAATACATTAGAGAAGTTGTGAGTTTCATCAACCCCAGCTTCAGTAACAGGTGGTTTCTTTGTTTGTCTGCCTCTCCTTCTGGCCTAGGGAGAACCTTCAAAAACTTCCCCAGTTGGCCGCTATTCATCACAACAACTGTATGTACATTGCTCACCACTTGTTGACCCTCGGGCATCAGTTCAGATTGCGTCTTGCCCCCATTCTTTGTGATGGCACTGCTACTTTTGTGGATCTTGTACCTGGCTTCAGGAGACTTGGTAACTGATACCTTAAATGTAGGAAAGCATATGGATTATGCAGCTTGTCAACATAGTATCTTTGTAGTTTTTGAATGAAATAATTAGAATGGTGGTCCTGAGCTGTATCGGAAAGTGGGAGGGCATTTAATCTGCAAGTGTTTCCAGTTATTTAATTGTATAAGGTGAGTGTAGTCTTTGTGGGAGACTTTTACTTTTTTGTAAGATGATTTCATGGTATGTTAGAGTTCCATACTGCAGTGCTAGTGTGCATTGAATTTGCCAGATCAGGATTATGTCATTAGAATGACACATAATAGGATTTATATTGTGACAATTCTGTTTATATTGTTGGTAAGAGCTCACCAATGTCAGTGCTAGTTTCTTTTGCAAAACCCCAAGACAGCTCCCCCATCTTACACCTCCCTTAGTTTTACTTGGGATTACTAAAAGGCAAAAGAAATGAAATGTGGAGTAAATCAATATGTTGATCATGGTAGAGAATCTATATGGTTCACTTAGTTTTTCAGTTCTTGACTTTTCCCTTAGGTGGTGTAGATATATCAGAATATGATGTAGTTCTTTTTTCTATAGTAATTTTTCTTAGCTGACTCTGGCTCTAAGCAAATTACTGGAAAAGACTTATTATCTGGAGGTTGGGTTTGAGAAACGGGCTAATGTATTCAAGGTGATTGTTTCTAGTAGCTTTAGGGCAGCTTTATGATATTATCTAGCAATTATTTTTATATAGGCAGAACAGATACGTGGTTTATGCATCTCTTGTCTATCCTGGTTTTCCAGTGTGTAATTGAACAGCTTTTAAAATTTTTTATTCTGTTTTTCCATCACAGGGACAGAATGCTTTTTGGCCCAAATGCGGGCACAGAAAGGTGAACTTCTGGAAAGATTATCAAGTGCTAGGAACTTTTCAAATATGGACGATGAAGAGAATTATTCTGTAGCAAGTAAAGCAGTCCGGCAGGTAGGAGGCTCTTGCTAGCACTGAAATTTGTATTCTATCCTTAGATGCCTTTTTTTTTTTTTTAAAGCAGAAAACAATATGTAACAAGTACTCAGTTGATTCCCTGCACCCCCACCTTTGGAAAATCTAGATACCTTTTACAGTCATGTTTAAGAACTTTTTCTTCCCCTCTCCCACCAAGACAACAGGAAACTATCCTTTCATTGACTCAATAATTGCAACTAGTTACCTAGAAAGTCTGTTGTAGCACGTAGTTGTTTCCTGAACTTAGATTTGGGAATTTTAAATATTGGCTTTTATCTTAATGCTCCGCTTTCTTAAGTGATTTATCTTTTTGCTGCAGTTTTCCTATCCTCAGGTTGATGAATCTGCTTTTCATCTACCAGGGATATCACTATGGTTAAATGTTCAAGAAGCATATATCCTTAGTTACTTTACCTCATTTTGGCATAATGCCACTTTCGCTATAAACTCACAAATGATAAATGTAAATCTGGAAAATATGAGTCACAATAATCTTTCTTCCACGTAAATAGCTGTATTCTTCTACAGGTACTGCACCAACTAAAGAGACTTGGAATTGTGTGGCAGGATGTCCTGCCAGTGAATATATATTGCAAAGCTATGGGGACTTTACTCAATACAGCAGTTTCTGAGATCATTGGCAAAATTACTGCCCTAGAGGTAAGGGCCATTAGATGCTACCCCAGCCTTGAGATGCAATTCATGTCCCAGATTGTGACTTTGCTGAGAAAGTGATGTTGAAGAAACTGTTCATGTTTTCATGTCTAACTCATGCTGTTATTTTTTGTCTTTCAGTTTTGTTTTATTTCTATTTTACTAGAAACTGGTTAATCTCTTTTATACGAAAGTAGGATTTAACTGTTTGTCAACATACCATCTTGATTATGAATGAGGAAGTTAGAAACTGGGTAGTGGTCCTGAGATGCATTGCATAGTGTAAAGTCATTTAATTTGCAAGTAAACTCAATAATTTGATTTAGTAAAGTGAATGCAGTCTTGTGCAGGTTCCATTTTTCCAACACACTGTTGCAGTTTAAATTTTACATGTGATTCTTCAGGAAAAGTGGCTGGACTTGGCCAGCTGATGCCTCTAAATCATAGATTGACTAAATCCTTATTTGTAATCACATCCACTGCTTTGCAACAAGCTGTGCGACATTCTATTGGAGAAACGGGCTCTTTCATGCAGGCAAACTAAATTACTGACAATCTGTTGAAACATATTTTGTGTCATTCTTATATAAAAGTATTGTCAGAGAGCTGATGAAAAGTAGTGTCTAGTAAGTTGTGCTAAATTGGTTGGAAAACATTGTTGTAGCCAACCCACCTGGACAGCACGCATCAAAGATCTGCTGCCCTTTCCCCACTTCTGAGCTGGCCCAATTCTGTTCTATTGTCTTTCCTCTATGCAAAACCAGGACATATCTACTGAAGATGGCGATAGATTATATTCCTTATGCAAAACAGTGATGGATGAAGGACCCCAAGTATTTGCACCTTTATCTGAAGAAAGCAAGAACAAGAAATATCAAGAAGAGGTTCCAGTCTATGTGCCAAAATGGATGCCATTCAAGGAATTGATGATGATGCTACAAGCCAGCTTGCAAGAAATTGGGGATCGGTATGTGTAACCGTTCTATAGAGGCATATAACTCTCCATAGCTACAAAAGAGTAATAGTGCCCTTGATAGCAGGGCTTTTCCCTGTTTGCTGATGTTACTCATGAAAGACTTTCATAATGAGTAGGAGTAGCTGGGGCCTTTTCATGATCTATCATAGTGCAGATCTCATTACCACTTTCCCATATTTGATAACATAACAACTTCTTATCCATATTATTTTGGTCTTGAATATGTGGTTTTGGCATGCTGTACAAATGATCTGGCAACTATAAGAATTACAGCCTTCTGACATCTGGATGGAAATTGTTGCTCACTTTAAGGAACAGTGGATGCTTTTTTTTTTTTGAGACATGGTCTTACTCTGTCACCCAGGTTGGAGTGCAGTGGCTCAATCATTGCTTACTGCAGACTCAAACTCGTGGGCTTAAGGGATTCTCCCACCTCAGCCTCCTGAGTAGCTGGGATTACAGGTGCCTACCATCACACCTGGCTAATTTATTTTATTTTATCATTTTATTATTTATTATTTATTTGATTTGATTTGTTTTCTTTTGTTTTGTTTTACAGATGAGGTTTCTCTATGTTGCCCAGGCTGGTCTCAAACTCCTGGCCTCCCAAAATGCTGGGATTACAGGAATGAGCCACTGCAGCCAGCCTGGATGAATTTTCAGAATTACTTTAATATATTAACAGAGAAGTGACTTTGATCTGTCTGAAATACTGAGCATCAAACTACTGTTTGATCGCAGTCTTTCTGCAGGGAGTGCAGTAGTTTTAAAGGTTAAGGACCATGTACCTAGTAGAGATTCATCCTTTCTTAAATGTAGTAGATGATGTTTTCTCTCAACACCATCAGTTAATGTTGCTGTGCCCAGTGAGTGTATGCTATATCATATCATAGTGTGCAGAGGCCATCGCACAAAACAGAATAGATGCGGGTCGGTTACGCATTCATGGATGCTTTCATATTGTCTTGGTAGATTATTGGTTGGTATGTATACCTTACATAGAGGACTCTCTGTAGAGGCCTTAAGGTCATCTCCATCCCTGTAGGTACTTGTCTGTCTGCTTTAGCTTGGTTTACTACAGATGTCTGGTTATATTGGACCAGTCATCCTAGATGTGTCTGAGTTGTTTGCTGCAAATATTAGTCATTCGTACAATGTAAACAAGATCTCTACTTGAAAAAAAAAATCACGTCAGAATACCTCCAATCACATTTCATAGAAAGTTTAGATTTATTCATTTATTATTTACAAGTCCTTAGTGGGTAACAAAGATGCTTTTAAGTAGTAGGCTCCAGTGGGCAGTAGATAAGAATTTTTCTATGTGTTAAAGGGCCTTCTTGCAGTCTAAGAATGATCATTAATTCCTTGTTATAAGAAAAATTATAACAGTATAACTCAACTTCTTTTTACTGCCTAGGAAATTTTTTTTCCCCAGAGATTTCTGTAAATATAAGGCTAAAGTTGTAAAATATACATATGAAGGAATACAGTAGATATACTCTATATTTACAATGTAAAGAAAAAGAATAAATTTCATGTACCTGTTACCCAACTGAAGAAAAATAATACCCGTATTTTGAAAATCCATGTATACCCTTCTCCAAATGCTCTCCATGAGGGGTAACTACTATCTTGACTTTTATGCTATTTATTTCCTTGCCTTTCTTTATAGTTTTACCACATTTACATGTATTCCTAAATAATATAAAGTTTAGACTTGCCTTTTTTTGAACTTGGTATAAGTAGAATCATCTGTAACTTACTTCTTTTGTTCAATATTATTATTGTTTTTGAAATTTATTCTTTTTTTTTGAGATGGAGTCTCACTCTGTCACCCAGGCTGGAGTGCAGTGGTGTGATATCGGCTCACTGCAACCTCTGCCTCCCAGGCTCCAGCAATTCTCCTGCCTCAGCCTCCCGAGTAGCTGGGATTAAAGGTGCCCATCACCACACCCGGCTAATTTTTGTATTTTCAGTAGAGATGGGGTTTCACCATGTTGTCTAGGCTGGTCTTGAACTCCTGACCTCATGTGATCTACCTGCCTCGGCCTCCCAAAGTGTTGGAATTACAGGCGTGAGCCACCGCGCCTGGCCTGAAATCCATTCTTGATGGTATATGTAGCTGCAGTTCATTTTCACCACTGTGTCATTCCACTGTACAAATATTTCATAGTTTATTTGTCCTATTTAGTCTCATTTTCACCAGTATTTGGAATTACCAGACTGGAAAATTTCAGCTGATCTAATTGGCATACAATGATAGGTTATTGTCATTTTAATTTGCATTTCCGTAAATTCTAATGATGTTGAGCACGTTTTCATTGGTCATTCATGTTTCTTCTATTATGTAATGCCTGTTCATATTTTTTGCCCTTTATTCTAATAGGTTGTTTGTGGTTTCACTATTGATTCATGGGACTTCTTTATATATTTTTACACTAGTCCTTTGTCAGTTAAAATTGGTTGCCTGTGGCTTACTTTGTAATACAGTTACAGAGCCTAAGGCGTGAGAGTATGGTCATAATTATTAGTTCAAAGAGGACTTGGTATAGAATAAGGGAGAACAGTCTCATACTCTTCACTTGGTCTTTTCATCTGGCTGTGCTGATACCAGTTGTAGTGGGTGAGCAAAGAGGTCAAAGACATTGTGGGGTAGTTCTACAAAGAAGAGGAAGGATGCCCAGAATTTGTTTTATTTCTGTTTCAAGCAAATAAGCATGTGGATCAAATAGGCAATTTTTAAGTCTTGCTTATACTTCCGAGACCTAATAGGAAATGAAACTCTATCTTCTGTTTTGCAGGTGGGCAGATGGAAAAGGACCCCTGGCAGCTGCTTTCTCTTCCAGTGAAGTAAAAGCTTTAATTCGTGCCTTGTTTCAGAACACAGAAAGAAGAGCAGCTGCCCTTGCTAAAATTAAATAGCTCCATCTTCTTAAGAAAGCTATGTCTTGAATATGTGGATTCTTCCCTTGGCATAATTACTCCCTTAAAGACTTCTTTGAATTGCCCATTGGTTTTGGTGAACCAGTACATCATGGAAGTTTGACTTTACAGAAGAACGTCTTACCTTCTGGCCTGTATGAGGCTTTGTTTAAGAACTGTTTATTAAGATAAATTGTCAAGTAAAGCACCTCAATTCATTGACTTTCTAGCCATCTTCCTTTGATTAGCTAACAAACTGTCAGGCAGCATTATTTCATGCTGCTTCCAGAGCCCTCTGGGAACATATACATTGTAAATGCAGGCCTTGGCTTTGGACTAAGGAATCGGGAGATTCCAGGAGTCGGGGTAGAGAATTTCTGAGCAAATGGGTGATATTTTAGGGGTGTAGGGGGAGGGAAGGGAAGAATTGACACCATATTTGGCCTTGCAGGAATTAAGGAGACTTCCTGTAATATTTCTTTCCAATAAATAATGCTTTTTACAATTAAGGGTGAGTGTCTTTAATAACATGGGAGCTTTGACAAAAGAGACCAACAAGATTTCTTATGTTCTATGCCATCCTTTTTATTGAGGTTTATGACCGTCACACAGGACTCACTGACTGGTCATCTTCATTCATCAGAACACTACCTGATAATTTTTCAGAATTCTTGGAACTCCTAGGACTTTCTTTAAGCATACATTTTTGGCACTTTTTTGCTATTTCAACTAAATTTTATTTTCTTGGTTGGACTTTTCTTCCTTCTCAACACTGTTTCTTTATCTTGTCAGATGGCAAAGGTCTTAAATTGCCAATGTTCCTCTGGAATGTGTGTGCCATGACATGCTGACTCTGGTCTTCATAGCCTAATCCTTTGTTTGGTGGACATAGGTAAGCCTTCAATTCAGCTTTTTGTGTTTTTAACTCTTTGCAGCCATTGGAGGAATATATTAAGGTTATTCTGGACCTGTCTAGGACTCTGAATTGTATCTCTTCCTACTGAAATATAGTTTCCTGTCCTGAAAAGAGGATAAGGGGTATGACCTTTAGGTTCTTTTGAGTTGGTGCTGTCTGAAGAAAGTTGCTAATACAAACCTGGCCAACATAGTGAAACCCCATCTCTACTGAAAGTACGAAAATTAGCCAGGCATGGTGGTGGGCATCTGTAGTCCCAGACACTTGGGAGGCTCATGCAGAGGAATTGCTTGAACCTGGGAGGGTGGAGGTTGCAGCAAGCCGTGATTGCACCACTGCACTCCAGCCTGGGCGACAGAGTGAGACCCTGTCTCCAAAAAAAAAAATTGCTAATCCAGTGGGTGTGCTTCCTTAATCCTCAGCCTTGCGGGCAGATGGTCCTCCAATTCCTTGCAGACGTGGAACAAACTGTTTTTCCTCCTGCCCTTAACCTTTTTCTTAGTTCTGGCTCAGCCCCTTTAATCATGTCATTCTGGTTGCCTAGTCTTTCTTTTTCCTATTTAAGGGTCATACAAGGACTATTAAGAAAGAAGACTGGTTTTCTTTTTGTGAAAGAATTCATCTGTGGTTAACAAGCCATTTATCTATATTCTGCATGTCCTACTATGAGAACGCAGAAAAAAGAATTGTCTGAATCAGCTTTGTTTTTTGGAGGAACAAAGAAGTTGGCTTTCTAAGAGAGGAGGAAGGGCACATTTTCACAGGTGAAGAAAATACCCATTTTTGAAAATTCATGTAATTTCAGCTAGCATTACTTTTCTCAACAATTGAGAGAATGGGGAACTAAGGGCAGAACTGAAATAAAGGCATCACAGGGCGATTACACAGAACGGCAGATTTCTTTTCTTCATAGAAGCTATTCCTGACAGGTACAGTAATTTGGAGGTAGGATCTCTTGTAACTGAAAAGCATGCCTTTCACTTCTTCCTCACAGTAACACAGAAAACTGCATTGCAGCTCTTAGCCTAAGCAGATGCAGTCCCTCGGGACTGTTTCACCTAATGAATATATTAGGTTGGTGCAAAAGTAACTGCAATTTTTGCCATTAAAAGTGATGTATTATGGCACATAGAGTAGGCAGACTCTATCGTCTTCCCTGGTCAAGGCTATTGATAGCTGATGATTAAGTGCATGTTCATTCTGGTTAGAGATGAATCATCTAATTGAGCATGTGGAAGTTGGCATGGCAACTGTTCCATGACCCTTGAGGGTACCTGTTCTGATGGGGAGCCTGAGAGTTTCTTGGGATCTTGAGGGTACCTGTACCACCTGGAATCAAACCTTTTTTTAGGAAAAGTGTGTAGATTATGGGAGAAGGAGAACTGTAAGAGGCTTGACTCAGTGGATCTATGGGCCAAATAGAAGAGACCTCCTTCCTAAAGAGCAACAAGAACTATACAAATGACTTTGAGAGATGAAATTCAAGAAAAGTTTCCCAAAGGAAAGGTTTTATTAAAAAGGCAAGTGTGCAAACAGCATAAGTTCATGCAATTATTTGCTAATGGTTCCTGTTTCTATGTGGATCCTGACTTGGTGACCTGTTTTACAGTCAGTTTTGCAAACACATTTCTCTCTGAAATGGAGATCCTCCAGATGGCACTCTTACCTCAGCCTGGGAGCCTCACAAGGCATCTAGACCTCATCTGTGGAAATGCAAGCCAGAGAAACCTGACCATTTTACCCTGAGTTTATATTCTGACCTTGGTCAGTTCTGGAAAGGTCATCCGTACTCTGAACAGCATCTGTACTATATGCTGCAGCACATTGCTCAGCAATCACTTGTGGATAGATCAAATAGTATTTTCTCTCATTAACAACACCATTAAAGGAGTTTTGGACAATCCCTTTCTCATGCTTGCAAATACTTATGCTATCACTTAAGGCAATGATTCCTAGCTTTTTTGGGGTGGGTTTTATTTGATTGTTTATCTGATTTCACAAGATTTTGTCCATCTTCTGAAAGTAGAATGGTACTCACAAATATGTGAGGACGTGTGCGTGCGCGCACAAACACACACACACAGGATATTTTGTGTCGTAAGAAAACCGGCTCAAGAAGGTAATTTGTTCAACTCCATAGCTGGTTTGTGGAGATATGTAGGAGTAACTTCTTAGCCATGGGACATAGCTGTCAATGCAGGGAGGGATAAGCCTATTGGAAATTGTCTCATGTACAAAAAGTCTTGGCACCAGGTAGTTCTAAATTGGGTTTTGATGCCTACATTCTTCCTAATCACAAAATCACAAAACCAATTTTAAACATTTGTTATGTGATAACTTTCTCTTAAAAATATGCATTTTGCCAAAGCCTAAAATTTCCGAAAAACTACACAGCCCTGGTTTTGAGAAGTTTTCCAATTATTTTATAATTTAGACAGAAATTTCTCACTTTATCATGAAGAGCTTGGTTAAGAATTTTGTGATATCACAAGCTATAGCTGGAAATAGCCTTAGATGTCTCAAAATCAAGTTATGAAATCTCTGCCTAGAAGCTGGGGAGGAGGGCAATAATTCAGATGAGCTATGTATAAGTTTTTCACTCCTCTTCAGAAATTGGGTGCCCTAGTTTTTTTGTTTAGCACAGAAGAGTAGGGTGGGAGTAGTTGGGTCTTAGCTACTCTAGCTATTAAAGAAGACAAGGCCAAAGACACCTACACCCTCCCTTGCCACAGGCTTCTGAGTAGTTCTTAAACTTTCTACATTCATTCTACTTAAATTTATTGGGTGCCAGGCATTCTAGTCACTGAACTACAACCAAAAAAAAAAAAAAAACCTCAAAACAAAAATTTCCTGTCCCTCTGGTAATTCCAGTGATGAAAGATAATAAGCATGAAATATATATATATATATATATATATATATATATATATATATATATGTTTGAAGATGATAAGTGTTAGGAAAAAGTAAACATAGGGTGATGAGGATTAGGAGTTCCGGAGAAGGTGGAGCAGAGGGGCGAGCTGCAGTTCTCCATAGGCGGGGCAGAGTGCATCTCCTTAAGAAGGTGAGTAAGCTGTGTGGATGTCTGAGCGGAGTCAATGCTAGGGAGAGAGACCAACTCTTGCAAAGCCTGCGGTGAGAGGAACATGTCTGGTGAGCTCAGGGAATAGCGGAGAGTGAGGGAGCAGGTAGGCAACAAGGATGCTAGAGCAGTAACAGGAAGAGAGGGGCAAGATTGTGTCAGGTCTTATAGAACAGAATTTATGTTTGTTTGTTTTTTTTAAACCCCAAGTTAAATGGTAAACCCTTAGTAGCTTAGGGGAAAAAAACACACACACTAAAAAATGAAAACATAAAAGTAGAATAGTATGGTGAACCCGTATACCCATTACTCAGCTTACACAATTATTATCACGTGGCCAGTCATGCTTCATCGTGCCCATCCTGCCTCCCTTCCCCTGAACCCACAAACACAGTGGATTGTTGAAGCAAGGGCCAGGCAGTGTATTTGAAACTCAGGACTGATTCCATAGTCTGAATGTTGTTTCTTGTGCAGTTTTCTCTTGTGGCATCCTTCCTTCAGCTCTTGCCATTCCCCCTTGCCTCTGCTCCCAGGAGCTGTCTTCCTTCCTCCTCTTGCCCCCAGCCGCACTTCTCCACTCAGGCTCATCCTAGTATCTCCACTCCACTCCCATTCCCTGAACATTCAGTATTTTTTTTTGAGATGGAGTCTCCCTCTGTCGCCCGGGCTGGAGTGCAGTGGCCGGATCTCAGCTCACTGCAAGCTCCGCCTCCTGGGTTTAGGCCATTCTCCTGCCTCAGCCCCCCGGATTAGCTGGGACTACAGGCACCTGGCACCTCGCCTGGCTATTTTTTTTGTATTTTTTAGTAGAGACGGGGTTTCACTGTGTTAGCCAGGATGGTCTTGCTCTCCGGACCTCGTGATCCGCCCGTCTCAGCCTCCCAAAATGCTGGGATTACAGGCTTGAGCCACCGCGCCCGGCCAAACATTCAGTATTAAATAACAGACACCCACAAAGCAGCTGACAGCTGACTCATGCCTCCACTTCCCCTTTGTCTGCTCCTTCCTCTGCCTCAGCCACTTGCTCTAACTAACCCAATCCCATAGCTTCTGGGTGTTCAAAATCTGCATGGGAGGCTTTCCTCTTACTGTTTGTTTCATCAGAGAGTATATCCCTTGTACTCTTAGAACCACTTTATCTGGGGTTACTTTCACAGAGAATCCCAGAAGGCATGGTTACCCAGTTTCACCTACTGAGTCCTAGGACTTGATGGAGGCTGAAGTCTGGGACTGGCGTCGTTTAAGGCAGAGCTACCCCTTCCCTAAGATCTGTCTGGAATGATTGGTAGTGGAGCAGCCACTGGCTGACTTCTGTTTCCCATTCCCCATTCCCTGCTTTAGAAATGATGCTTTAAAAGAATATTAATCATTTCTATTAGTAGGAAGGGTTCCATTTATGCTTGATTGCCATGTGGTATGATAAAAATTATGTATAACATTAAGTATGTCATTTTATTATAAATTTCATTTAATTTCAAACTAAGCTCTGTTCCTAAACACAGTC